AATATACAGATCGTAAAAGGTTGAAATTCCTTTTCTCCGCCATGACAAGAAAGTGTCATCTGCGAGGGACGGCGGGAAGGTATGATTCAGGGCTATAGGGGCATAGACAGAAAGAGATTGCAGACCAAAATGCCGCCTAAATTGCCTCCACAGTCTTAAGGATGCGTCAGCTATTTTATTAGAGGTATAAGGATTAGTTGAAGATTGCAATGGCGAATGTAGTAAGGCTGCCAAGGACGCAGGTTTTACAGAATTTGCCTCTATATTAAGCCAAGCCGGAGAGGAAGGGCTATCTGACCGGAGCCAGTATCTAAATAGTCTAATGTTTGAAGCCCAATAGTAATATCTGAAGTTTGGCAAGGCCATCCCCCCAAGCTTTTTAGGTCTTTGTAAGAGTTCAGTGCGTATACGAGAGGCCTTCCCATTCCAAAGAAATTTAATAATTATACTATTAAGTTTATTGAAAAAGGACCGTGAAAGAAAAATAGGTATGCACTGAAATAGGTAGGAAAAACGTGGGAGGATGTTCATTTTGATTGAATTAACCCGAGCAACCAAAGAGAGGCCAAGCATTGACCAACGATCAAAATCTTCCTTAACACGCAATAATAAGGGGGAAAAGTTAGCTTTAAAAAGATTCTTATATTTAGATGTAATCTTAGAGAGCAGTAGTACCGTAGATAGTCACTAGGAGGCGAGGAACCGTCATAGTTTGATGAGATCTATAGTTTAAACACATTAAATATGAAACTTGAAAACAATAGACCAACAAGGCAAGAATGATAAGTGGATGGATATCCATCATTAGCTCAATAGATGGTGGGGTAATAAAAAAAAGGTCCTTCCAGAATGGTAGCCTAAAAATCAGACATTCAAAGTTCTTGGTGAGAATCTGAATTATTGTTAATCCTTCAATTTATTCATAAAACCTTGATGTGACAAATAATGCGGCTGTAGGTTTCCTTCAGACAGGTCTCAAACGGGGGCTTACCCACCAGTAAAGTGTACCTGACAGAGCAGTTATACAGTATTGCACTGGATCAGGAGCTGTTGCCACATGTAGCCGTGTTCCCATACTTACAGTATGCAGCCAAGTGACCAGACATCCACTTCAAAGCTGTGGCCTTTCTTACTAAGAACCTCAGGGGCGACGTAGTTGAGTGTTCCACACTGCGTCTTCTTCCGTTCACCATCGGTCTTTATTTTAGTGGCCAAGCCAAAGGCCCTGGAGAATAAAGATGGTGTTTTTGTCACAATATAAAATAACACACTTATGGAAAGCTGTGTGCTACAAGTCCCTGCATTGGTGTTTATTCCTCAAAACAAGAGTGCAACGATGTGCAGCACCT